TGGTATGGGAGGTATAGGAAATATTTTCTGGCTAGCAGCGAAGTTTTTTGCCATCAAAGTTCTTCCCATCGTCTCTTTGTCCTTTACAAGGAGTCGATGATAGAAGGCAATTTTTGGGCTGCTTGCGGGCCACTTTACTTGCTGAGAGTGCTTCTCAGCTTGCTTGCTGAGAGTGCTTCTCAACTTCTTTGCTCGCCATTGCAGCGATGTATTTAGGAAGGTGGTGAGGCCAGTACACTCTCTTACTCGACGATCCCACCATTGCAGCGATACATTTAGGAAGGCGGCGTGAAGCTTACTCAGCGATCAACCGGGAGATTAGCTTACTTTTAATTGTATTTCGTAGAGCATCCATTATTTGTATTTTTGTATTTTTGTAGTGGACGTTTGATAATAAAGGACTTCACTTGAACGTATTTCGCTCTGACCTTGTTTTCTTTTAATCGTTCAACATATTTGATCATGATTTTATCTGTTCACATTCCCATAAAGAATGAACATATTTTTTCAAATATTTACCGTTAATGAATCTCACGTGCTTGGTGCCATCTAAATCTTCCAAGTGATACGCGTCATTGGGCAACACACTGTTTATTTTGTATGGTCCTTCCCAATTGGGCGACCACTTCCCGTTTTTTGGATCCTTGCTATCCAAAGGGAGTATCGTCTTTCAAACTAGTTCACTCAGGCTGAACGACTTGGCTATGACTTTTTTATTATAAAACTTAGCCATTCTTTGTTTTTGAACTTGCAACCTATCCAAGACGTCCAACTTTAATTCGTCTAACCCCAATAAATTTTAAACTAGCGATTCGGCATACTCATCATCATTCAATTTATGTTGTAAGCACACTCTGATCGATTGCACGTTGATTTTCATAGGCAAAACGGCCTCCTGTCCATAAACAAGTTGGAAAGGAGTAACCTTGGTACTTGACCGAGGTGATGTCCTATAAGCCCATAAGGCCTTGTTTAGACATTCGTGCCAATTTCTGGCATTTTCATCTATCATCTTTCTGATGATATTTTTTAGAATATTATTAGAAGATTCCGCTTGTCCGTTGGATTGAGCGTAGTATGGTGTGGAGTTTACTAATTTAACCCCAAACTCGCTCAAAAATTTGTTCACTTGATCCCCATTCAAAGATGTTCCGTGATCTACCATTAAGGTTTGTGGGATCCCAAACCTATAGATAATGTGATCACGGATAAACTCTATAACATTTTTCTGGGTGATCTCTTTCAAAGGTACCGCTTCTACCCATTTGGTGAAATAGTCGGTTGCAACTATAACAAAAGTATGTTGCTTGGACGATGGGGGATAAATCTTCCGTATCAGGTCTATCGCCCAACCCTTGAACGGCCAAGGTTTAATAATAGGTGTCATTTCTCGTGCTGGCGCCCTTTGTATTGGACCATGCTTTTGGCATGCTAAACAACTCTTTGCATACTGAACGCATAGTTCTCCCATCTTTGGCCAAAAATATCCACTCCTAATAATTAACCATCTCATCCTTTGGCCAGCTTGATGAGTTCCACATATCCCTTCGTGCACCTCAGCCATAATCATCTTGGCTTCTTGCAAACTTACACACTTTAGTAATACACCATCAGAGCATTTCTTAAACAACTCTTCATCTATTAGTGTATAGTTCAGCAAACACATCTTCTTTTTCCTACTAATCCCTCCATTAGGTTCTTTAAGGAACCCTTTAATCTCTATTCTCCAATCCATTGCATCTCCATCTTGTATGCAGTGAAGTTCAATCTTTCTCGCCCTTCTTTGAGTCACGGGCAATATGATTCCATACTCACAAGTAGACTTCCAATTCAAAACCTTTGAGTACCCTGATGCCATTTGGGCTAACTCATTTGCCACGTCGTTATATATCCTATTAACGCATTGGAGTTCTACTTGATCGAATTCTTCTAATAATTCTTGGGCGATCTCATATTGACTTATAATGGAATCACTTTGGCATTTAAAATCACCGATCAATTGATGGATCACCAATTGAGAATCGCCCCTAACGATCACATTTCTTACTCCCATATCCATCATTAGTTCTAAGCCTACAATTAAGACTTCATATTCGGCCTGATTGTTGGTGCACATTCTGTCTAAAGTGAATGCAAACTTGTAGCAGATCCCTAAAGGATTAATCAATGCTACTCCTACTCCTGCACCTTTAGAGGTTTTTGACCCATCGAAATACAACACCCAAGGTTTTAACTCGAACGAATTGATTTCTAATTCGATTTCTTTAGGCATGTCAAGGCATGGATAATCAGCTAGAAAGTTAGCCAAAGCCTGATTTTTGATTGCCTTTTGAGGTATATATTGTATTTCGAATTCTGATAAAGCTAGTGTCCAAAGACCTACCCTTTGGTGTAAAATAGGGCTCGAGAACATATACTTAACTAAATTTACTTTATAAATTAAATAAACGGTTACGGGTCGTAAATAAGCCCTTAATTTTGTACATGTGAAATACAATGCAAGACATAATTTTTCGATAGCAGAGTAATTACATTCACATTTCGTTAATCGTCTACTTAAGTAGTAAATTGCCCTTTCTTCACCAAATTGGTCTTCCTGTGCGACCATTCCAGCTATTGATTCTTTTTCAGCCGATACATACACTTTCATTGGCCGTCCTTGGATTGGTGACACCAACACTGGTGGACTTGATAGATATGTCTTCAGGCTTTCAAAAGCCTTTTGATGTTCTTCTTTCCAGACGAATTCGTCTTGATTTTTCAGCTTTAAGAGCGGCGAAAAGACTTTAGTTCGCCATGCACAGTTAGAAATAAAGCGTCTTAAAAAATTTACTTGGCCTAGAAACCTTTGCAACTCCTTTTTGTTGCTAGGTGGTTTGGCTTCTAAAATAGCTTTCGCTTTATTTTTATCAAGTTCAATCCCTCTCTTGTGTACTAAGAAACCAAGAAAATTCCCTGCATTAATACCAAATGCACACTTCAAGGGATTCAACTTTAACTTATATTGCTTCATTCGTTCAAACGAACATCTTAACTGTTCGAAATTGTCCTCTTCTTTAATGGACTTGACTACTATGTCATCCACATACACTTCAATAAACTTGTCTATCATATCATGAAAGATTAAATTCATTGCCCTTTGATAAGTTGCCCTTGCATTTTTTAGGCCGAAAGGCATAACCACCCATTCAAAACATCCTAGAGACCCAGGGCATCTAAAGACAGTTTTGTGTATGTCTTCTTCAACTATATAAATTTGATTGTATCCTGAATACCCATCCATGAAAGAATACATGACATGTCCGGCAGTTGAATCTACTAAAGAATCCACCGTGGGCATTGGATACTCATATTTGGGTGTGGCTATGTTTAAATTCCTAAAGTCTATATACATCCTTAGTTTACCATTCTTTTTTAGTACTGGCACGACATTGGACAATCATTCGACATATCTGACTGTTCTAATGAAACCTGCTTTCAATAATCGCTCTATCTCTTTTTTGATTTCAGGGAGTACATTGGGAGCAAAACGTCTAGGAGGCTGCCTATGAGGTTTAAAGTTAGGCTTAGTTGGTAACCTATGTTCCACCAAGTCTCTATCTAAACCAGACATTTGTTCATATTCCCAAGCAAAATAATCTTTGTACTCTTTTAACAAAGCGATTAATTTGTTACTAACCTCTTGGTCGAGCATTTGGCTGATGAACGTTGGGCGATATTCTCCTTCATTGCCAATATTTACTTTGATCAGAGGGTCTTGTGCTTGAGCGTATCCAGGTTTAGCGATCCGCATTACTTCGTCGTCCAGTTCCCTTGTAAGTACTTCCTCTTCTAAACAGTCCACCTTGTTGACTTCTCGTCCAATGCTTTGCTCTAACTCGAATACTGCCAACTTATCCTTCAGCGCTTTTAGGTCTGTCTCTTCTTTCGCCTTGTCACTGCATTCCTTATTGAAAGCCATCAGTCTGGCTTTGAAGGCCTGAATGTCAGCCATTTGCTTTTGTAACTTAAAGTCCATTCAAGACTCCTTAATTATTTTTTTACCAATTACTGGCTCTTCCAGGGCCACTATATTTGGCCTCATCTGTTTGAACGTTTCAGTGAGTGCGTCAACTGAGAATGGTTCTTCGCTTTGTGCGACAACCTGAGTTTCTTCCCCGTCTTGTACTATCCTGACAGGTCCATAGTTTCCTTCGTACATGAACTTTTTCACCGAGTTTGCTTCTGCGACAAAAGGCCTATGATCGGCCTGTACCACCTCTGCTTCGCCTTTGTCATTCCAAAAGATCAGGTATTGATGGAACAATGAGGGTATACAGCGACTTCCGTGTATCCAATCTCTTCCTAGTAGCACGTTGTAACTAGTAGGACCATCTATTACAAAGAAAACGGTGGTCCTAGTAGTTATCGGGATGCTGACTTTGTAGGTTTATTCCGACCAATCCTTTGGAGTTATGAGGAAATTTTGGATGGTAATTGAAGAGGACATTGTGAGCTTTCCAATGGTATCAAAATTCGATAGTTTTGATAGTCGTAAGTTGCCGAAAAATTGCCTTAAAAGTCGCCCAAAAATTTTGAAAATCTGGGCAGATTTTCAAAATTTTTGGGCAACTTTTAAGGCAATTTTTCGATCGAATCACTTGGAGTTATAATGAGATTTTGGGTGGTAATTGAAGAGGATATCGTGGGCTTTTCAACGGTATCAAAATTCTACATTCTTTGTGATCGAAAGTTGTCGAAAATTTGCCGTAAAAATCGTCCAATTATTTGAAGAGACGAGTGATGAATGAGTAATTATATGAAAAGATGAGTGAGCATTCAGTAATATGTGAAAGACGAGTGAGCAAGTAGTAATCAAGTGTAAAGTTCAGTAATTATTAATTAAATTTACTCATATATATATATATATATATATATATATATACACACACATTCTCAATCAATTTTCTATTCTAAAATTCATTTTTTTAATTGTTGGCGTCACCCTTTAAAGTAACAATTATTTTCTAGATAACAAAAGGTCTTTTAAGAACATTATTTTCTGCCAAGTTCCGACTGCCGAACGCAAGTGCGGAGTGTCATCGGGGAATCCTACAGCGATCTTTTCGTTGTCGAAATTCAAAAATTACCTAGTATTTCGGGCAATTATCCTTTTGGTCGTCGGAAAATTCAAGTTTCGAGTGGAACTCAGGTTTACTCGCCTTTTTCTTTTTCCGGTTTATCTAATCTTCTATATTAATTCCCTGAGCCAATCAGCATCTTTACTCAAATTATCGCCCACTTACTGTTTCAATATGTGGCTTATTACAATTGTTACATGTTCGTTGATATTATAACTTTGGCGTTTTCCTGATGTTTGAAACTGAGGGAAATAGCCCCTTTTTTTTGTTGGTCTGTGTAAGATAATGTGTTGTGCTTGATATTTATTCCGGTTCAAGAATGATATGACTGCGAATTGTTCGTATTTGAAATCGTTTTGGAAGATAGACAAGTTAATGGAGGAGATAATGAGGGGGTTAATTTGAGTAAACCTGGCCTCCGAATTACTGGTTTTCGATGAAACAATAACCTCCAAATTACAATCAGGAGTACCAAATAACAATGTCCATTCCTCCGTATTCCTTCATTGCTTACACTTTAAAAACGAATTAAATAGAACATCACTCCTAAAATTGTGGGAGTTGCAAATAGTTTCCATTTATCAGACTTCCATGATATGCGCATTAGACCATAGCTATAGGTTCTAACCATTACAGGAATGAAGGATTCAATTACCAAAACCAGGTACTTATGATTTGATGGACCACATACATTCACCTTATAAGGGAGTATGCCAAAAGAAACTTGACTTCCTCCCTGAAATTTCGGTTTTGTCTCCTGATATTCTTGGCATCTTGTCTGCATGGTGTTAGGAATGGTTGGAGATGTTTCTGGCTATTAAGATTTGGGGTTCATCTTAAAAGGTCAACCTTGTTAAGAGGAGTAGCTCAAATCCTTTATAAATTGATGTATATTTTCATCTTTATTTGATATGAGATTTTATCCCTTAGCATGCCCCCGTAGGATGGTGGCTCGTTTGAGCAGACCAATCTTGAAATCCGTCTGCTCATTTTTAGAGTCTTAGCCGGATCGAATTACTCGTTGGAGTTTAATGGACTCTGATACCATGTTAAGATTTGAGGTCCATCTTAAAAGATCAACCTTGTTAAGAGGAGTAGCCCAAATCCTTTATAAATTGATCTATATTTTCATCTTTATTCGATGTGGGATTTTATCCCTTAACACTGGCATTACAATTGGCATCACTTTTTGGGTTTTCGCTTACTGAATCTGTAAACATTCTTTAATCTATTTGTTAGTGCGGAAATGCAAATGGTTTGCATGCCATGGAGTTCACCACTTACTGCATTTTGATCTTGTATATTACTAGATTCCACATTTTCAAATAAGAATTTGATGTGCCAAACTTCGCTTGGCTCTGCTGTGTCTCCATTATTCGTTCTGAAATCATTTTGTATTGTTTATATGCTTTGCACGGTCTGGATATTTCGTCCATTTTGCACAAGATTTTCATTGTAATTTCCTTTTGTTCAAGAACCATGGAGTCTACCATTTTTGTATGATCTCTAGTCGGTAATCCATTGTTGAGATTTTCTCCTTCGTTTGTTGTCTGAGCTTTGATACCAAATGATATGAAAAGAGGGTTAATTTGATGAAACCAACCTCCCAGGTATTGGTTCTCGAGGAACCAATAAGCACCAAATTACAACCAAGAGTTTTAAATAATTTCTATCCATCCCTATTCCATACTTGCTTACTCTTTAAATACCAAAAAAATAAAAAAATAAAAAAAAATAAAGAAGGACTCCTAAAACTAGGGGCATTAGTTGCTCCACAACTAACTTATACTAATTTATAAAATAAATAAAACATAAATATTACAATAAAATAAATTACATATTTGTAACAAAAACCAATACTTGGGAGGTTGGCTTTCCTCAAATTAATCCTTGTTGTTATCTCTTTTCAATTTATATTTTTATTTTCCAATATGAACAATTTGTGTTCATATCAAAAAAATTCTCTCTTGTAAAGAGTTGCTTTTCCATGCTCCAAATTCTGCATATTGTTGCAATCCTGTGGCCCAGAATTATGGTACCAATGTATGCTTAGCAATTCTTCCTAGAAAGGTAGAAGTGTGCTTAATTCTTATCACATTAAAATTGTATAGAACTCAAAAAAAAAAAAAAAAAAAAAAGGGATTCTTATCTCAAAATTCTTCTAATTTTAGATTCAGCGATGTTATGTATTGGTAGAAGGTGTGGATCTTAAAAGTAGCCACGTGATCCACTATAATTTATTCCTATTTCCGTGCTTATTCAAATGTGATTGAATTATGCTCACTTTTGGCTGTCTGGGTAGAAAGCTAAACCTGTTGACATGCTTGGGAGATAAATTACAAGTGAATTTATATGAATCAGCTTAAAAGAAACAAAGATATATTGAGTCTTGGAGTTAAGACTTCTTAGACGAGTATTTGAAATGATACTCAATCTCACTGGTATAGGAAGACTCAAATTGAATTGGTTCTTCTTAAATAATGAAGGTGGCAGTGATTCAAAACTAATTCACTGTGGTTTAGCCTTTACAGTTTGGAAATCAGTGGGGAGAAGGAAGGAAAAATGCCACTGGTACTAATGTCTTTTTGTAGGAGACGAGCTTCTCATTATTAGGATTATACCATAGTAGCATGTACTGTGGCAGAGCCAACAATGTCTAAAAGTTATTCATGCTTGGCCTGAATCATGTATGGAACTTATTTACCTCGAGTTGTTGAATCTCTGGGCAACCCATAAATTTATGTCGTTTGCAATTGATAGAGGCAGGAGCAGATGATGGTTGAGAGTGATGTAAAGGAGTATTGTATAATGTCGAGAGCAGGAAATATCTAGTGTTAGACATTCAGGTTATGTTCGAGAATTTGAGTTGGAGGAACCATTTATGTAGAATTTCTATTTATTTCATTTTTAGCTGCAAGTTGATGTATGAAGTGTAGAATTCCTATAATAACCCGTCTAAAACCTGAATAGTAACCAAAAATTTTATTTTTCGTGTAAATGTGGAAGCGAAAATTATTATTTTTTTATTTTCAATTGTAAATAATAATATGTAGACCGAAACGATTAATTTATAACTCTTTAAAAATAAATATAAAAACCCAACTATTGGATTAAACTTGTCTTTGACTACAAATCAATACTTAATAATCAATGACTAAAAAATAGAAAACTTAAATTACTTTATTCTCTTCAAATCCTATTCGCAATATGTATCACCATTCTACCATAGACCCGATCAACCCGAGCTAACCTATAAATTTTGTAAGAGTGAGTATTTGACAATACTCAGTAAGATACATGCAATTTATGTCACACAATTAAGTAAATCAACAGAACAGACATATTATACCACATTTCAAGTAGAGTATTTTGGTGATCAAACAAGATACTCATTACATAATTATTCTTAAATTCCCAAAGGAGTTCACATTTTATTAGGAAGAACCAAAAAGTGTTCACATTTTGTTTGGCAGGACCGGAACATTAGTAATCTATGTAATATTTCATTGAATAAATCATGTATATAAAAACAAACCACTTGTACGTTAAATCTTACCTTGAATTGAACTTGAAAACCAATCTTGTGGATATTAGCTTTTTTTCTTTTCTTTCTCCTTTTTTCTCTTTTTCTTTCTATATGATGGTTGAAATATTGGGATTGACAATGTGCACATGGCTTTTAAATATGTGCAATAAGTGTTATTTAAGTTATATTAGATAACTAATTTTCTAACCTAATTGGACTAGGATTTTACCTCACAATTCCACTAAAATTCAATCAAGTAAAGGTCATCTATCTTTAATTATAATCCTAATTCAAGTAAAGATGTGGGACTTATCTTTTATTAAAATGACTTATCTTATTTAAGTAATAATTAAACTTAGATAAGTTTGGATGTCTTGATTTTGATCTCTGCATATCCTAATCGGTGTATTTCTAAGGCCTCCTAACATTACTTATTACGAGCTTCGATAGATCTTAATGTTATATGCTAATTCTCAATATATCGATACTTAACTATTAGGCTTAAAGAAAATTAACTAAGGTATTATGTCTTGGAGAAATTATATGTGGTGGCAATCAATCTAACAAGTAGACATAGGACTAACTCATTTGGCTGAAGACATGAACCGACACAAAAATAATATTGATAATAATCCGGGCGTTACATCCCTCTCATCTTCGAATTATTTCGTTCTCAAAATTACCTTAGCTAGGAGTGACACTTGGATGGATAATTTTTTTACTTATCATTTCCTATAATTTCAATTTCAACTTTTGATTTTTTGATTTTTTATTTTTTTTAGTACCATCCTATAAGGAGCTCTAGATACTAGTGATGCTCTGGGTCTGAGGTTTATGGTGAATTTCACTTTCCTATGAGGTGGCGTACCAGTTATGCCGTTCGAAAATACATTAAGAAAATCCCTTACAATTGTTATATTCACTAGTAGTCCACTTCGACTTCTGATTACTAGTGATATTTCAACATCTGTTTTGATCGCAAAGTTGAGACAGGGCAGGGTAGGGACTTAACCCATAAAGAAGTGATTTATCTCTCCAGGTTTTTGAAAAATTACTTCTTTTTCAAGACATCATATGGTTGCATGATTACTTCCCAACCATTGTGTGCCCAAAATAGCATCAAAGTCTTTTATGTCTAAATGTAAAAATCAATTTTAAACTTTTCATCTATATATACCTTGACTGCTTTAGCTATCTTATCGGCGTTCAAACATTATCCCGATGTGATAGCAACTTCTAGAACACTATTGGATTCCTTACATACAATACATGAATTAATAATGAAAGCAGTGAATTAGTAGCTCAAGAGTCTATAGAAATATGCGTTCACATTTCATTTGGAGTATTTCGTTGATCAAATGAGACACTCATCATGTATTTATCTCAAATTCTCGAAGGAACTTGCATTTTGTTAGAACCCACAAGAGTTTACATTTCGTTATGTGGAACCTTAAGGTCCATTAGTAATTCACGTAATATTTCATTGAATAAAGAATAGTGTATAGAAACAATCCATTTGGACATTGATTTTTGCCTTGAATTGAACTTGAAAATAAATCTTGTGGATCCTTTCCTTTTTCTTTTCTTTCTCCTTTTTTCTCTCTAGACTTTATCTCTTTCTTCTCTCCATATGATGATTGAAATTTTGGATTGAAAACGTGTACATGTTGTTTAAATGCATGCAATAAATGTAATTTAAGTTATATTTGATAACTAATTTCCTAACCTAATTAAACTAGGATTCTACCTTACAATCCCACTTAAATTCAATCAAGGAAAAGTCATCTTTCATCCTGAATCCTAATCCTAATTAAAGTAAAGGTGGCAGACTTATCTTTTATTAAAATATGCCTTATCCTAGTTAAGTAATAATTAAATTTAGATAACTATGGATGGCTTGATCTCGATCTCGATCTCTACATATCCAAATCGGTTTATTCTTAATGCCTTTCTGCATACATTATTACGAGCTTCGTATAGAGCCCAATATTTATGTACTAATTCTCACTCTAGCGATACTAGCTATAGGCACAAAGCAAAATTAATTAAGGTATGTCTTGGAGAAATTATATGTGATGGCAATCACTCTAACAAGTGGATCTCAGATGGATCGGCTAAGACATGAATCGGCTTTAACTAAAGAGGTCATGAACATGCTTAAATAATATTGATAATAATTCGGGGTATTACAATTCATTTCCTGTGAGTGTTTAGTTTCTTGACAACCTACGTTATTAACTAGTTGTTTTTGCCCTGAATAGTGAGTAGGCTGATTAAAGGCCCAGCAGCTAACTTTTGATTCTGGTTTTCTCTTATTTATTATTATTTTTTAATATGAAAAATTGAGCAGTGAACTTAGTTATTTTTATTGGAATCATAGTCCTTTTAGAAATTGGAAAATTGGACTCTAAATGTTGTTGCTTTCAATTTCTAAAGAGGGTTCGACTTAACTATTTTACTTAATCTGAACCTCTTCAGCCCTATATTTTTCATCCATTGATTCAATAAAAAACCTTTGCAAATTTATCCTAATATTTGATTTGGGTGTTAATACTGTTAAAGAGTGATGCCCAAGCTTTTACTTCATAACTAGCTTATTTGATCCCTCGGTTGATTATTACTTATGAGAACAAAGTAGTTTAAATGAAGCTGAATCGTACCATACGTTACTTTATATTTTAATCGTTTTCCATTTGGAACCTCTAGGTCGTCATTTGGGATATCCTGTTCTCAGTTATCAACTATCGTGTTGTGTTGACATTTGCTGCTTAAATTCATTAACTTGTGCTGTAAAAGTACTTAAAATTTGATTTCATCATTATTCTATTCTCAGATAACTGCAAGGTTGATTCCAACTTTTAGCCATAGAGCTTTGATTCATCATGAAGCTAGGGATGGCATCTCTAACCAAGCCCCTAACTAGTATTTCAGTAAGTGCGGTTTGTCTTGTGCATCATCAGCGCTTGAAGTTATGGAAATCTCAGAATCTACTTAATACCGGCACTTTGCATGCAAGTCGTAAGCACTTCACTATTTACTGTGCAAATACGTCTCCTTGGGAATCTGCTCCAGTAACGTATTCTCCTCATAATGAAGGAAAATTACTTAAAGAGGCGACCAATATCTTTGAAACTTTGAGTTCTGGTGAGACAGCTGAAGCTTCGGTAGTCAATGCTGAACAGGTCACAGTTGCAAGCAATCAGTCACCTGTGCAGCTCCAGTACCTTAAATGGCCTATATGGGTTCTTGGCCCTACCCTTCTCCTAGCCACGGGCATAGTGCCCACATTGTGGTTGCCACTTTCTTCAATTTTCCTTGGTCCGAATATAGCCAGCCTTCTTTCTTTGGTTGGACTTGACTGCATTTTTAATCTCGGCGCATCTCTCTTTCTCCTTATGGCTGATTCTTGTGCAAGTCCAAAAAACAGTACTCAAAGGTTCAGTAGCAAGCCTCCTTCCAGTTATCAGCTTTGGAACATGGTTGCAAACGTACTCGGATACATTATTCCTTTGACAATGCTCTTGGGTTCTCATAAGGGTTTTCTTCGGCCTCAGTTACCTTTCATTTCATTTGCAGTTATATTAGGTCCTTATCTTCTGCTTCTCACAGTACAGATACTCACCGAGATGCTAACCTGGCACTGGCAGTCACCAGTATGGTTAGTTACTCCGGTTGTCTATGAAGCATATCGTTTGTTGCAACTGATGCGGGGGCTGAAGCTTGGCGTTGAGCTCGTGGCACCATCATGGATGATGCATACTATTAGGAGCTTGGTGTGCTGTTGGGTGCTGGTTCTTGGAATGCAGCTCATGAGGGTCGTCTGGTACACAGGTTTTACTGCTCGTACTTACAATCAAGAGTCGACTGCATCTGTTGATGGTAATTGATTCTTGCTGATGAAGCTGTCACTGGACTCATGTACAAAATCTGTAAGTTCACTGTTGAAATTTGAACGGATTTAATTTGATAAAAATCTTAAGATTTGTCGAAGAGAAATCGATGAGACATGCAAATACTTGGTGCCTAATATCTTAATTGTCTTATATTGCATGCTGATGACATAGATATGTTTGTAGAAATGATAGAATGAGAAGTTGCAATTTTCATTAATCTCTTTTTTCCTTATCCTCCCTTGAAGATGCTTAGTAGTTACCGGACCCTGTGGCTGGTATTGATGATTGGCTCTGCAAACTCGCTCGTGGCTGAGCGGTCAGCCTCGGTGGAGTTACATAAACCCTTTTTCGAAGCTTTAATCGTCTCATGTGGCCATCCAGTATTTGCTAAAGTTGGCCGCGGTATAGAGTATGTGCTTATAAGCTGTAGATTTTACAGAATATGTGAAAAATAAATTAGGAGTGACTAGTTTGATCAATTTAAATAAAAGCTTTGCCAAACACGTACAGAATTTAGAATGAGCATATTTGAATTCGTAAGAATCTCTTGCTGATATCACTATGAGAATCAAGTTCAATTTCCAAAAATGGAAAAGACTTCATGTCATAAAGCTTGCTTCAAAATGATGAAAAAAAACCAAATCCTGAAAATTTTAAGCAATTTGAAAGGAAAAATTTATCGAAAATTGGATAAGAGTCTTTCTAATTTTGAAAGCAATGTTGATAAAATCCATCTTTCTAATGTTACTTATACATAAGGAATTAAATTATAGTTTATATACAGATGAAGTGTAAAAAAAGAGAGTGGATTTTTTTTTTTTAAAATTTGGTTGAAGAAATTATAATCTAATCATATCTCAACACATTATGTGTATTTAAATTATTATGTACATACAACAAAATTGTTTTCTATTTGACTCATTGTATTAAATTGATTAATAATTAATTTATCAGATCTTTCTTTTACTAGAACAAATTAATTTGAGATTTTATGTTGATAAAATAACGTTAAATTAACATGTTCGATCAAATGGATGGGTTTAGACCATATTATTAATTGACCGTCTCATGATTAATGTGGAAAAAGTTACTTGAATTGAAATATGTAACTTTGCTTAAATAAATAACTTGTAAGTTACTTATTTTAAAAATACTATAAAAATTGCTTTACTTAAAAATAAAAGAAAAATAAATAATCTAAACATGTCGTAGATGAAAAGTATTTTATTTGAACTAAAAAGGTATACTCTTTAAGTATATTTAAAATGTTAATCAAAGTTAAAAATTAAGCAAATAGTAAAAATTAATTTTAAAATAAGTTTCTTAAGTAACCTCATGTTTTTTTTTTTTTTTTTTTTTTTAAAATCATGCAATGGGTACATTGTGATATACAACGGGGTGTTCAAAATGGACACAATGCTGAGGCGCCTGCCACGTCGGGGCCTCGGCCAATACCGAGGCGCCGGGTGTTCATTTTGGATACCCCGTTAGCATTTTTCTTTTTTTTTTCCCCTGATTTTTCAATATTTATTCTCTTTTTTTTTTTTTTTTTTTTTCTCGTTCTAGAACGGAATATAGCGAGCAATACAGCCTGATCGCATTAATCCTTGTCCCCAGTCAAAGGCAACCGAACCTACTTCCATCTTTTAATGTAATTTTGTTGTGTTTGTTTTTTTTTTTTTTTTTTTTTTTTTTTTTTTTTTTTTTTTTTTTTTTTTTTTTTTTTTTTCTCGTTCTAGAACGGAATATAGCGAGCAATACAGCCTGATCGCATTAATCCTTGTCCCCAGTCAAAGGCAACCGAACCTACTTCCATCTTTTAATCGGTACCAAACGCAATCAAAACGATACCGGCAATGAGACCAAAAATAGGGGAAAAAAATAAAAAGAAAAAAATAAAGAAAAATGTCTACCTTAAAACGTCACAACTCGCAGGGACAGGGAACTGAAGCAATTCATATTATTACAAGGAAAGTCGCAATTCCAGAAACGCGACAATAGTTCAAGCATTGCGCATGTGGCGGAGACACGGGAAGTGTCCTTTTCCGTCCACGTTACACTAAACATCTCGAATCCCAGATCTCTCTCTCTCTCTCTCTCATTCGCTGTACAGAATCGTGCTGTAAATTGTCTCCGGCGACGGCAAACCGCTTCCTTGTCACCGTTAACCGCCTTTCAAATAATTCTCCGGCGAAAAATCTAGCGATTCACTAAGACATGAGTAACAGCGAGCTCCTCCAAATCGAACCTCTCGAACTTCAATTCCCATGTAAGAACTCTCTCTCTCTCTCTCTCAACATTTTAACACGCACACCACAAACTGGTATGAGAATTTGTGTTTTGAGGACAATAATTTAATGTTTCGATCTGTGTTTTTGCTGTACTGAATTTTTCGTTTTGGTGCTTGCAAAAGTCGAATTGAAGAAGCAGATCTCATGTTCCTTGCAATTAACCAACAAATCAGATAATTACGTTGCCTTCAAGGTATCAATTTTTCTCATTCAAACTGATAATTTTTTATTTTAATTGATAATTTTTCTATTTTAATTAATTTTTCTATTCTTTCAGGTCAAGACGACGAATCCAAAGAAGTATTGCGTGAGGCCAAATACAGGAGTTGTATTGCCCCATTCTACTTGTGATGTCACAGGTCTCTTCTCTGACTCTCTTCCCATTTATGACAATTTTTTTCTAGTTAAAGATTGTGTGCGATTTCTCTTAAATATCATGAGTATTGAATTATAATTGATAAGACCTTTGAAACGAAAAAGACATGAATTTTGGCATGTGGATTTATTTGTGTTTGAATTGGTGAGTGAATGTCAAGTTTTTTAAAGTCCAGTTACAATGCAAGCACAAAAGGAGGCTCCACCTGATTTGCAATGCAAGGATAAATTCCTCCTCCAGAGTGTAGTTGTTGGCCCAGGTGTAACCACAGAAAATATCAAACCTGATGTGGTACAATTTATTGTGATGCTTCTGCGTTTATTTTGCAATTAATTAACTGGCGCTGGAAAGAATTGGTCTGAGAAGTAAGCTGTACATGTGTTTTCTGGTTTTTAGTTTAACAAGGAGTCGGGGAACCGTGTTGAAGAATGCAAACTGAGAGTTTCCTATGTTCCACCCCCACAACCCCCTTCGCCTGTGCGAGAAGGCTCAGAGGAAGGCTCCTCACCAAGGGCTTCATTGTCGGACAATGGCACTGTAAATCAGATTCCTGACTATAACAGCGTGAGTTTTTTGGATGTCCTCATTTATTGATGCAAAAGATATGTTCTTTTTGAGTTCGTAACAAATTTTACATAAAAGGGATTAAGAAAGTTCTAATTTATTTTAATGATTTTTCAGATGTCCAGAGCATATGTTGACTCACTGGAGAACACACCAGAGGTTATATCCTACATTTTTAGTATTTCTACATTGACAATGTGCTTTATCTTCTGGATCTTTACTTATGGTTCTTGTGTCTGAATTTCCTTACCTTTGCAAAAGTTTGCTTCTTTGTGATTGGCAATTTATAACAGTTTTCTTTAGGTGTCATGCACCTGTTTATCTAACTTGCTCCATGCTCCCAAGGACAGTAAAAAGTCTTCTTGTAACTTCTAAATTTGATCTACCTAGTGTCAATCATGTAAATGAACTCAATTTCAAACCCAAACATAATGACCTAAAAAATCCCGGCTTCATTAGCTTCTAATGTTGATTTTTAGTAAAGAGTGCCTTTCTTCAGCACGATGAGTTGAAAATTCATTGAAACAGACAAATTTTATGCATCTAAAATTGAATTTAAATGATTTAGAACTTGTTTGGTAGAGCTTTTAAGCCAATTAAAATTAATTTTTTGACCGTTATTTCACTATTTTAGCCGTCATTTTTGAATTTTTCTCTCACAGGTAGGACCCACTTTATCTTTAACGGCCAAAAAAATCAATTATCAAAATCCCTACCAAACAAGCACTAAATTGATTTAAGGAAATATTTGGAATCAAAGAGTTATAGAAAATTGATTGAGTACATTCAAGGTTCTTTTGGTGTTGGGTTTAGGTGTTCTTGTCTTTCATGCCGCTTTCATCCTATACGAGGAAGTTTATGAATACCTACAAGTCATTTCAAGTATTGGAAATTAAAATGTGCAGATTGATCCATGTTAACAGTTGTTTCATGGTTTTGGTCTGGTGGTTACGGAGTGAGAATTTTTACATGGGATATGTTGTCAAGGTTTTGAAATGTTCTGATGTGAGAATATATAATTTTGCTCATAAGGACTCTCCTTAGTAGAATATATAAATTGGATAAAGATTGCTTTGTTTCATGCTACATTTACTGGTGTTTGTGTGTGCAAAACAAACGAAAAACATTAATCTGCTTGTTATTGTAAATGAATATGACTGATTTTTTTGGTAAGTTAACACAGGGTAAATTAAGTCCGTAACGAAGTTACCAATGAACCATGTGGTTTTTTAATCGGGACAAATCAGTAATCATATTGCATGTGTCTGAAAAATGGCCAACTTCACACAAACCTGCCCAAAAAAAGGATTTTTTTTTCCCCAAAAAAATTGTTTGGATATATGCTCTGTACATTTTAACTGTTCATTGGGGAGAAAAAAGGAATGAGAGAAAAATTAAGATTATTTTGTTATAGTTAATAGTTTGTAATTTATAAAAGTTGTAAACACGTTACATGGGTCTTGTGAAAAAAAACAATTTTAACTATTGAGTTTATTGGTTTTTAGGATCTAACTTATTTGGAACCTTAGATCGGCGAAATTGTGGATGAATTAGTAACTTGGTATATATTAGGTTATTTTTCATAGAAAGTCTTCATTATTTATATCTACTGGTGTAGGGACTACATTTACTTTGTTTTTGAAGAAGCAGTTTAGACAATGTGCTCAGGACAACACCAAAACTAGTACAATACATCAGGCCCTTTAATAATTAATATTTGGGATACGTAACAAGATTTTGCAGGGATCTTCTTTTCAATCCAAAATATTAACTCCAAAATACCGTATTTATATTTCTTTTTTTGGGAAACAAAAAACCTTTTTGTTATCACGATTGGAACATATTTTCATTTATTTATGCTACATCACATTTAGCAAGGTTATAAAAAAGGGTGTGATAGTTCGCCACTCAACAAGGATCATAGATTCATAAGGCACAGAATAACAATAACGAACAAAGTCTTTTTCCAAGTTGGGTCAACTTCCTTGAGTACATTTTTATCAGTAGCTTTGTATGTGCTCTTTCTACCTCTCTATTGGCAGATTTAATGTAATCATATCCTTCATGATCACGTTAGGCTGTTCTCCCCCCCCCCCCCCCCCCCCCACTCCTACTGTAGCCTAATCCTAAGAAGCACTGATACTTGTAAATAGGTTAAGTACTCGTATCAGATACGTAGGGGTGGGCGTGGCCCAAACCCAACCCAAACCTAATTACACATTTAAACCCAACCCAACCCAATCAAGTTCGGGTGGGTTGAGTGGGCGGTTTGTAGTTCACCTTTTGTTGAGGATCCACATTGAAGACAGCAAGGCAATATTGTATTAACTAAGATAGCTTCATTGATCAATAGAAATAATTGTTGGCACTGCTATCCACAATAAACCAAAAACAAAAGCAAATATTACAGCCATCCAAAGAAATTAAAATTGCATCCAAATTGCTACAATAGTTAATATGAAGCAATACGCTGCCGGCAAAAACGAAAATGGAGAAATGAAAGCTATTGGCAGAAATGAAATTGGAGAGAATAGCACCTGCAATTTGCATTAAAGGAGTGTCAAATGAGCAAAATTGAAGCATCAAAGAAGCTTTGAAATTGGAAATTGATAAAAAATACCTGGAAACTTGTAAAACAAACTAATCACTTATAGTTGGGCCCTTGATCATCTTCAGTTCTAGAATTCATTGATTCTGAAAGGCCTACAAAAAAATAGAAAGTGATTAAGTTGACAACAAATAATTAGGAATAAATTAAAATAATTAAATTGTTGTATATATTACTTTCATCCAATTGGTTGTATTGCTCAACATCCTCCATGCAGAAACCAGCCAATTTCGGAGAAGCTTTCAACCAATTTTGAGTGCATAATAAGACCTCCACCATTTTAGGACTTAAGAGAACTGCAAAAAGGATGAAGGATCCTTCCTCGGGTGTTAAATGCACTTTTTGAAGCAACGGTTGAAATTTGAATTGCCAACACATCCCTAACCAAACTAGGCAAAATACCATACTTATTTTTGTTAACCTTCCACCAATCGAGAACATAAGTCTTTGTTTTCTATGCTTTCACGAGCATCCAATAAATATCTTTTCACATCTTTTTTATTTTTTATCTCAGCACAATCTTTTATTGCTTGTTCTTTCATAAACCTAGAAAGAAGAGCATCACTCAAATAAGAACTACCTTTATCTGAATTGAAAGAATTTACAGAATCTTTAGTTGATACTTGACTACTTCCACAAACACCTTCATGGTCTACATAGTACTCGTAAATATCCATCAAATTGGTTTTCAAAGACTTCATCATACTACTAATAACTTCCTTGTCCAAGTATAGATCACCAAAACATTATTCAACATAATCCATTTTGTATCTTGGATCAAGGATAGTAGCAATAAGCAATAACTGATTCACATTTTTCATTTTATCCCAATATTTATCAAATTTCTTCTTCATGTTAGTCGTCATTTCACTTAACTAGAAATTGCTGCTTAATCTCCATTTATTCAATTCTATGACAAGATTACATATTTCATGAAGATAAGTACAAGCACTAACATGCAATGATGCACTAAAAATCAAGGTCACATGAAAGAAATTTTTAAGAAACTTGACAAACAAAGATCCATTTTTCCAGTTTAACTTTGAAGGAGGTCCACTCCTCATTCTACCACCATTGTCCTCTTGAAAGTAATGCAAATACTGTACATTCTCTTCTTCTAATCTTTCAAAAGCTTTTTCAAACTTCAATGCCGTTTCAAACATCAAATGGGTAGAATTCCACCTAGTTGGAACATCTAAAAACACAATGGACTTGCAATCAATTTCTCTTGCCTCGCACACTCCTTCAATTTCTCATATCTAGTAGGAGAAGATTTAACATATTTTCATCCAAATATAATTGATAAATGTCTCTAACGAGAGTCCTACGAGATGGTGCCTGAAACAGAGGACATGCAAACTACAAAATTGTCTAAAACAGAGCTTCAACAAACCTAAACGGTAATTCATCTAGTACTATATTTTAGCACCAGCAACCCTACACTCTTTCTTACTCCAGCCAATAGCTATAAGATTGTTCTTGCCACCCTTATTTTTTTTCAAAAGACAACAATTTTTGCTTTTTATCTTGCAATCTACCAAGGTACTTCTTACAATTATTTGTCAAATGGTTACACGAAGTACTTGTACCGCATTTCTTGATGCCACAAGCATAATCAATTCTATAGTAGTTATACTTACACCTAAAATTTAAATCATCCCTTGAGCTTAATAGCGTAAAATCGTCCCAAACATATGAAGCCAGTCTATAAGATTTTCGCTTATGTGATGTTGAAGGTACGCGTGGAGGAAGATCTGATAGCAAATCGTCTGATAGTGCTGCCGTGTCATTTTCTTCACACATCTACATCTATTGTGTCCATTTTACACCTGCATTATGATAGGTACTTGGATTGCTACTGAAGATGCTAGGTAAATATGGCTGCGTCTGGTGAAACTTCTATGGATTTGAAGGTTGGTGTTGCTGCATAAGCTGATAATCGAGGATGACTAGCACAGATTACTCTATTGGAAGTCTAGTAGAGTATAACAAGAACTATATATAGTTGTATATGTAACGTTTATTGGATGACTGAAAGACTGCTGTAAATGAACTGGCTAAATGAAGAACACTCCTAGGCACTTCGAGAGGCCTGACTCTCCTCACAATTCTCAACTATTTTCTCATGCCCCTCTATTCCCCTTCCCATAACATTTATAAGCAATCCCTTGACCATAACGACATAATTTATTACACTTTTGACCCTCTTAACTAACTATTGAACCTTCTGGAATAACAATTGATGTGGCTGCCTCTTTGTTTGCATATGTGAACAGGATTGGGGTCTAGCACATTAGTACAGCCACCAAAAAAAAAAAAAAAAAAAAGGATTAATAGAAATGAAACAATAAATTTTACAAGTACTGAGCTATTGAATTAACTCTTCCTCGAGTTCTATGGGTAACTAACTCTCTAGCGTCCTTTGCATTTGTCTTCAATGTCTTTCAGTCTTGTGTTTTTCCCCCATTTGAAGGTTCAGGCTAGTATTCATTATGTTCAGTTGTTGGAGAACTGATTAAATCACAGAAAATTGTCGAACATAAAAGATTTCATTGTTGGCAATCTTTAGTAATTGCTTTTAAGAACTTCATGTACCGGAATATCTCTTTTCCCTCTTTTATCTTTCTTCATTTAAGAAATTGTGCAATTTTTTCAACTTTCACTCGGTGCAAGAGCTCTGCAAAGGATGACTTTGAAATGCACTAACATCATATTTTGCAACTTCCGAATTTGTTAAAGTTATATTAAAATATTCTTTACAAGTTATTTATATTAGATCCCCTTCATGCCAACTACATGGGATATGCAGACTTCCTCGTGTTATGTCCAAATTTGAAATCATTTAAAAAGATTGAAAAGGCCAAAATTACCACGACTAAGTCTTGAGCTTGGTTTTTGACTTATGTGCCCTTCTTTTTTATATGCCTCTTCAATACAAGAGCGAGAGCCAGGGCCATAATTCTTGGGGTGAGAATTTCAGATGTTGGAGTTTTGAGTTTGCGATGAGCGATGTTGGACCATCATAACAAAAAAAATTGATGAGTACCGGGTACCTTCGACCTTGGACTATCGGTGACTGGTGTCGGCATGAGAAAATTGGAGAGGCGGTGTCGGTGAGTGAGAGACTAAGAGCGAGAGGGATGGAAGATTATTAGGTTAGGGTTATGTATGTTTTTGACTTTGTGTTGTGTCTATTTTAGGTCTCTTTTTAATTTTTAGAAGGCTAGCGGTTCTGATTTTCATTGGTCAACCCATGACCCGACCTCCGTTCTTCACCCAAAAGCTGAACCTAGGGCTGGGCAAATCTCCCGAACCGAACCGACCGAATCGAACCCAAAACGAACTGAACTGAACTGAACCCGACGGTTCTTGTCAAATTAAATACCCGAACGGGTATCTGAATTGAGAACCGACGGGTACGGTTCGGTTCTCGGTTCTAGACCAAGAACCGAAGAACCGAATATTTCTAATTTTTTTTTATATTGAGTAAATCAAATTATTTTAATTTTAATTTTTTTCTAAATAAATTAAGAAATTAACAATTTCTAAATCCAAAATTTTGGGCTAATAATTTGTTTCATTTCTAATTTTTTAATTTTTGGTCCCATTACCAATTTTATTGTTTCATTTCTTAGTCCAACAAGATCCAATCCACTAAATAACTCTAAACACCTACACTAAAGTGCATAACGTTGTTTCGACTCTAGCACTTACTCTCGCAGCCTCGCTGACATTTCAAAATCTATACAATCGTAGGCCGAAGTTGCAACCTCCGATCGAAGTTGCGACCTCCGCCAATCGAAGTTTTGACCGTAGCGATCAGTTGAACAAGGTAGTCTACTAATCTACGACATTCCAAAATCATTGAATGTATTATTAGTTGTATTTATATAATGTTGTTATAAATATTAAAAAATTTAATTATAATACGGAACCGAACTCGAACGGTTCCATAATTATATTTGGACCCAACGGTTCCATTTACTAGATACCCGAAAATTTTGGTTCAGTTCGGTTCTAAAGAGAACCGAAACGAACCGACTCGTGCCCACCCCTAGCTGAACCCAACTGTAAAATTTAAAAAAAAAAAAAAAAGACCTGAATTGATCGGTTCGGGTTGGGCTGGGTGGTTTAGACGGGTTGGTTTGCGTTTTGCCCAGCCCTACCGTTATGTATTCAAGCTTCAATATTGATCGATATCTTCAGATACGTATTGGATACTTTTTTTTAATTATTTTGTATATTTTTATATTTTTAAAATTTTTGATATGTATCCGATACGTATTTTTTTAATTATTTTATGTTTTTATTTGATTTTTGATACATATTTGATACATATTTTTTAAAATTATTTTAATAGCTTATTGAATACCAATAATATCTATTGAAAATAAACAATTAGAGTTTTAAAATTAACAACTACACTTTTTATTGGAAAAGCACAATATTATTAATCTTTCAATACATGTGAAATTGTGTTATAGTTGACAAATAAATTTTTATTATTGAAATAGATAGTGACTAGTAGCTATTAAATAATATATGTAAAATTGTGTTACATTAATTCTATTATTGAAAATAGATAATAATTTAATATATGTGAAACTATACTAATAAAATGCTTTAGTACTTTATTTTATTTTTATTATCATGCTTTTGTATTAATTTTTTTTTTTAATGAAATTATGCTGAATTTTTTTTGATAGGTAATATATGTTGAATTTTTTAGAACATATTGACGTATACTAATTTTTTCAAAAATGTTGTATCGATATATCCATATCGTATTGTAGCCGTATCCGAATTATGTATTCGTATCTGTGCTTCTTAGGCCTAATCCACTGAGTTTGCGTCACTTTTGTGAACCTGAGTTTTCATAGTGCATGTTTGGCAAATCTTATCAAATATACTTATTATCAACGTATATTGTAGGACCCATAACTACTATTTTCTTATTATCCACACATTCCATTGGACCTTTCGCTAAACAGGCACTTAGACGACTTGTATGCTTGATCTTTGTCATCCTTACTTGATTTATATTTTCATTTTTCATCTTATCGTGTGGTCACATCCATTTTGACCCAATAATTCCTGCATCCGTCTTGTGCTTAAACACATAGCTGGTGGAGCAATCATTGGAACTTTTCTTTTAAACACTCGGATATCTTCTTATCATTAGAAGAATCAGATACTCCTCTTTTGGTGGAGTGTCAGTGCCGGACTTGTATCGAACATTTACACTGATCAGACACTTGTCTGTCACGCAAAGTGGTGATTGACCTATTTTTTATATATTAGTGCTAAATAATTATCCAGAAAGAAAATACTTCGCCTAACATTTTCAAGTGATCTGCATAAACTGTGCCTTTGAACATCTAGAATAATGGTCATTTTCACTCAGTTATGTACATTTTCTGGCTTTGGTCAAATCTTACTAATTTTTGAAGCCATCTAAGCAATTATACTACTTTTCTGCAACTAATGGGTATGAATACTCATTTTAATGCAGGTGTTTTCACCATTCGGTATAATTTTCTTTTAGTGCAGGAGTTCATTTATTTGAAGGATCTTTGTAGATTTTAGTAGAATTGATGGGTTCTCGTCATGATTTTAGTCTTTTGTTTCTATCGCAGGTTAAAGCTCTGATCTCCAAGCTGAGTGAGGAGAAAAATATTGCAATTCAGCTAAATAACAAGCTTATGCAAGAACTGGTTAGCCTTTCTATTGGCAAATGTCTTGTGTTATGTGTTGATTCTTTTATTTGCAGGATATTGATAACATGTACTTCAACTTCCCGAGTTATGCTACCCACCCTCCCCAGCAAAAGAAAAACATGAAATAATTAATCGGACCTTGATATCTTTCCTCTTCTAGATTAAATTTTGGAAAATTTATTCTGATTTAAAATTTGGTTTGAAACTGCATTGGATATTATTAACTTACTCAGATATCAAATTCCAATGGTTAGAACACGTCTGATCCAGCACCAGTTGAAAATCCTCAGTATGTGACCCACTGATCGATTTCACCTAGATTGCCATATCATCAGAGACTAATCACACTCTTAGAGAATCTCACAGCTGATACCAATAAACCTTGTCAAGAACTTCCATTTTTCATGCGGAAAAGCACGTACAGCAAGATCAATTTCTGTGTGTCGATTCCTGCTCAATTGGGCTGTATTTTTCTTAATTATATTCTAGGTTTCCAAACGAATCACGAGTAAGATGTTGCATGAGATGGATTAATAAAATAAGCCCAGTAGCCATATCAACGCAAAAGTACACTTGTCTCTTCTTCTCTTCTACTAGACACCTTGTATAATCGTAGCAGCCTTAATCACTTAAAATACTGCTTGTGAAGGTCTCAGAAAATGAAAGGCTGGCGTGACACAGAATGCATGCATGCTTGTTAGATCAATAAATTGAGATTTATATGGGCAAAAGATGCACCAAGTGTAACTACATGATGAGATAAGATTATTATTCAAATGCTTTGCTACACTTTGTCGTGGTACTACTAGGATCGCATTTTCATCCTCCAATATGGGTTTTTATGGGGAGATGATTGGTACCGTTTTCATAATAGTAAACTAAAGCTGAAGTGGTAACACATATTATACTTTATTTTGGGCCTACATTAAATAAGTAAACAACTGAAGAAACTTGTTTCTTCTCTTGGTTTTCATTTGGGTGGTGGGAAGGCAGGAATCTCGATTTCTTAAATTTGAAAGGCAGGGTGATGCAAATCGAGCCTTTGGCAGTATGACAACGTTTATGTTTCTAGACACAAACTATGATCCAACTATACACGCTCTTATCAAATGCAGGAGCTCTTGAGGCGTCAAGGTAACCGGAATCATGGAGGCATCCCATTCATATATGTTGTTATTGTTGGCTTGATTGGCATCCTTTTGGGGTATCTTCTGAAGAGAACATGATTCCGAAACCCAATGTGCATCATCGTTACACTCACGTTGTCCGATCGTTTAAAAAAGTTAAGACATTGAAGTCAATTATTTAAGTGATTGAGAAGAGCTTTGTGTTCTATTTAGTAGTTTGGTTGACAGCAGGAAAAACGCTGGCTTTGATGATGCTCCAAGAGCATTCATTATGTGACTAGTTGCTTTTTTACAGGTTCACTTCTTTAACTTGAGAAGAATATTTATTCAACTAGCTTAATGTTTCTCGTGATTTGCGTTTTCTTACTGTTTAAATTGGATTGTTCTAGATTTTTCTCTTTAGATTCTGAGATGTCTGCATGTCTTCAGTTTTCAATCCATGGGATTTCTTTACTGATGGTAGCAGGAATAAATATTATGGAGTTTTGTCGCTTGAAACAATGAAAGTTAAAATTAGAAAATTTACCTATTAATTTACACTTTATAATTTATTTTTGAAGCCTGGGTTCCTTGTTTATCATTTAAATTGGGTAGAACGTGCTCTTAATTACAATAATATTAGTGGATGAAAAGATATCGACTCAAAATTAAATTAGGGTTCTGGTTCCAGATGAAATTTGTCTTTTTTCTAAAACTTGAGAGTTAAATGATTTTGGTTCGGTTATTGGATGATAATAATTGAGTCTTATAATTAAAAAAATAGACCTTGTTATATGTACATCAAGATCTACATAAGGGATTACATAATATTCATATGTCACTTTACCATTTGTCAGTTGAAAATATATTTAACTTTTTTATCCAATATTTTCTCTCTACATTATTTTCGGTAACCGTTTATGTACTATTTTTATATACAAGTAGCAAAATCTTGGAAAAATAAACCGTAAGAATGAAATGAATAAGAAAGCTAACCCAATGGTTAACATTTCAAAAATTATTTTTGAAGCATAGGTGTCGAGTCGAACTTGTCAGAACCAATGGCTCCATGGGAAAAGAGGAACCAGGTGGGATTGAAACCATAGGGCCTATTTTTTATTATTATTATTATTATATATATATTTTTTCAATAGGGAAAATAGAAACTGTTCAGATCTCATGAGATCTATATTGACTGATAATAATCCGTTGCTTCATCCTAAAATTAAAGGAGATATCCAAGAAATTCAGGATACCGCTCCTGAATTTGCCCAAAAGAAGGCCTGCTATTTATGTGCAGTACATGAAGGTATAATTGTTTGATTGAAGAATAAATTATGTAAATAATTATGAGCATTAGTACTGATCAAACGAAATTCGCAACTATACGGAATCGTTGACAAGTAATACGTAATAAGGAACGTGTACCATTCCACAAGGAATAAATTTTAATTTAAGTTTACTAATTTTGTATTGAATCCAAAGTATGTAACATAGAATAGATGATTTGTTGTGATTATTCTAAATTATTCTACTAATTATGTAAAAAATTTTGGTTTGTATAAATGAATAAATGATTGTATTGAATTTTCAAATCCACTTATTTCTATCTATTTCAATTTTCAGTTATATAATTTAGTTTTACTCACGCATTCTTAACAATCGATAAATTGATTATATTTAATTTTCTTTTTCAAGGTAAATTAAATTTATTATAATCATGATCCTATCATATTCATAGTTCGAACCAAATGAACAGAATACATTAAATTACACGATTATCTAGATGATTGCACACACGATATTGTTAATCATAACATCCGTTGTCCGTGTTAACCTTGCAGCATTCCAATACAAATAAGGATAACATGATTTTATATAAATTATAGGAAGAATATCGAATAGATGTCACGCAGATCATGAATAAATGCAAGATATCTTGATCTTCAATTTAAAGCTTGAAATCTTCAAGGTTATTATTTTATTTTAGTATAAATGTAATTGGCACTCAATTCCTTGCTAGGTTGATCTTCTCTCCCAAAAGATGTGAATTTGTCTCTTGATCTTGACGAATTGTATGATGTGGAAGTGTATTAACTATTAAGAGGTTAGAGAGAGATCCCTTGAATGTTTGCCCGAGTCGAAATTTAGATCAAAATCGCATCCCAAGTTGGTTTCGAAAAGAGTTTTAATCAAAAATGGAAAATTGATCCGTCGGATAAAATTTTAGCTTGCATGCACGTGACGTTATTGACTTCAGCTCACGGGTTTAAAAAAAGGTGGCTCGAACATGCGCGCATAGGAAAGTCAATCTACGGAGTCGTTAGTATATTTGTCATAACTTTCTTTTTCCATATTCAATTTTTGTGATTCAAACTATATATTGAAAAGCTAACTTAAAAGGATTTTATTTATTATTATTATTATTTTAGAAATATCATTTTTCCAATTCGAACTTTTTCTATAAGAAAAATGAGTCTCAATTCGAGGCTAAAAATTCAAAACGTAACTTGAATTGCTGGGTATTGATTTGTGAAAATACTTTGACTGTATTTCACTTACTTGACTTATAATTGCATCCAACTGATCGTATATAATCTTCAATCATCATTTGTGGTCCGAATCAATTTTACACTTTGGTCCTCAAACTTCGAATTTCCTCTAGTTTTGCCATTTTCTCTCCTTTTTAATTCCTCCAATTTGCATTGAGCGTTACTTATGAAATAAAATATAAACGTAATTAAACTATAGTTAATCAAAACTCACAACAATTACTCTCATTAATCGGTCCAAATAAATGTACAAAATACAATTATCGAGTACAATGTCAATTTGGACTTTTGAGACTCTCTTTTCAAGTACAAGATGCAACCGTTTTTCAATTTGCATGTCTGGAAAAGTTTATAACTATTTATAAATTAACTATTGAAACTTCTTATATTCATATATTTCGTAAGACTCGGACCTTATACAACTCAAAAATGTTTAATTTTTGAAAACTGAACAACATAACATTGATCTATGATGCACCACTTCAATTTGACTAAGTAGAAAAGTAAATAATCTAAGTTAAGAAGATACTATATTAATTACATTTGAAATTAATATATACATATTTTTCGAAAATTATATTCTGAAATGATAAAATGAGAATGTGTAGAGAAATCAACGTGACTAAGTAGAAAAGTAAAAAATTTGAATTAACAAGATACAATATTAATTACATTTGAAATTAATATATACACATTTTCCGAAAGTTATAGTCTTAAATAATAAAATGAGAATGTGTAGAGAATTTGTTACACCTTGTCCTACGAATCTTGTATTATTGGCACGTGGTAGTCAAGAAGAAGCTACCAAAAGCTCGTACTCCTCAACACTTGCTTACTCGGTCTAATTGAGGTCATCAAATAAAGGTAACCAAAGTGATCCAATCACCTAAGCCGAAGTCAAATGTAGAGGTAGAACCTCCATGTCTAAGGAGAGATACCACGATCTACTGCAATCTGTTTCCGAAGCGACATGTCTTTGTTTTACAAAGTATATTATGGGGGTGTTTGATAGGTATTTTTATGTAAAAATACATTTTAGAATAGTATATTGATGTGAATTGTGTTGTTGAAAAATAAGGAAATGTTTTTGATTTACATGTAATATTATTTTAATAAAGAATGTGTGGTTGAAAAGAAGAGAGAGAAAAATACATTTTGAATAAAATGGTTATCAAATGGGGCCTATAAAAATAATACAAGATTAATTGATTTGATATCTTTATAGAACCTATAGCTTCACCACATCTCAAAGATCTTCCATATGGGATATTTCGTTCGATTGATTGATTTGATATCTTTATAGAAGATACTATCAGTCAACTTTTTAGATGTCAAGTCTAGACCAAAGTGTGTTCACTTTTCTGAATCGTTTAATGTCGTCTCAATCTAGGACAACAAAGGTGACGCCTATGAGGATAATGCGTTTCAATTAAGATGAGATTGTGTCATCCATCCAACGGTAACATCTATATCTCTTCAACTATAAAAACTTGAACTTAAGTCATTCATTGCTAAATGTGTCATTCCTCAAATAGGTGTTCTTGTATTTTAATGTATCTTTGATCATTCATAGAGATGTAGCAAGATCTTGAGAGACTATACCGTGCACTTGTGAGATTTCGTCAATCAAGTTTTTGAAACTGTTACCAATGATTATAGTATTTATTTAATTAGTTAATTATAGCTTTATTCTGAATTTTACTTCTTTGTTAAAGTTTAATCTTTATTTATAAATTATAGTGTTTCCTCTATTTCTTTTAAGGATCTTGTATTCAAAACTTGAGATACGGTGATCTTGCTATCTTGCTCCATTTGATACAAAAATTGAATGCATACTAAGAGATGAAGAAATAACAAAAAATATCCTTAAAAAGATGAAGAAATTACAAAAAACTAAGATGAAGAAATAAAAAAAAGTATAGCACATCCAATTGCTGTTGTAGTTAATGAAGATGCAGTAAATCTGCTAACATGGTAGTTAATAAGAACAAGGGCATATGAGAGATACATTATTCTGCCAATGGTTGAGAATTGATCGAGCATAGCTTGTCCAACGTTCGGGCAACCTAATTTGCATTTGAGGACATTTGTAAATGTTGGGTTTTGATACCCAATAAATCTTAGGCGATGATGTTAAACAGTTTCGAATTATATTCCATAGGCCTCTACCAATGAGCGAGATATTTATTAACCAATCAATTCATATGCTCGATTGGAAAACAACGTGAGCTAATAGTAGCAACTTAATTGGTTTTAATGTTTTTTTGGACCAAATTCACTTATAGGATGACTTTCTTGTGTCTTGGCCTAATCCCTTTTGTCTTGGCCCAATTGATAATATTCCTAAAGCTATATATACCCATCTTCAATGTATGAAAACCATGTGTTTTTGCCCTTTGTTTGAGAAGAGAGAACCGACTGCGTCTTTGTGATCTCCTTCAAGTTCTTGTCTTTTCATGTCTTCTCTTAACCTTTGTGGCTTGCAAAATACCACCATATTGTTGTTCCTTTGTGGGTGAGAAAGGAGGAATGCAACCATAAGTGATTGAGTAGTAGGTTGGAGTTTCAATTGGTTGGTTGATATATTGATTGGTAAGTTTAATCTAAGCCCGGAATCTATCAATTGAAGATCTATTCCACTACATTTGGTATCAGAGCCTTGGGTAGGCGAAAATCTATAATTTTTTTCACCGACCAAAACAGCTTGAGAACGCATAAACCGAATCAATCCAATTTTGAAAAATTTTCTGTCAAAACTGTTTGCTCATTTTCAGTGGAACCACTTACCTTTTGGACAAATCAAGACCACAGGCGGACTCTGCAGATTGAGGCGCCCATGGGAGCTTGGCGTGGGACTCTGGCATTGGGGCG